CCCCTCCTTCTCCTCCTCCTCTTCCTCCTCCCCCTCCTCCTCCTCCTCCTCCTCCTCCTCCTCTCTATCTGTTCCCTCCATTCCTTCTTTTTCCTTATCCTCCCCTACTCTTTCTGAACTTCCTATTTGTCAGTGGGTAAAACTCTTGGAATGAGTTCATCTGAGACTTGCCTTCTGGCTTAGCTCCTTTCCAAATTGCTGTGATAAAATACACTGATAAAATCAGCTCCAGTGAGAAAGAGTTTGTTTTGGCTCCAGGTACCTCATGGCAAAGAAACCAGGGAGGGAAGGATACAGAGGGAGCAGCTCACACTGTATCCAGTCAGGGCCATGCTCAGCATATGGTGCTGTTCACTTTAGGGTGAATCTGTTGACATTGTTTTAATTCCTTCTACTGTAACAGAATCTATTCCAATTAAAATAACAACATCTGTGGGCAGAAAGAGAGAGTAAAAAGCAACTTATAGTGTGCCTAGATGAGCATTTCCTAGGTGTTTCTATATTCTGTCAATCTGACAGCCAGTACTACCACACCAACCTTCTTCATTTCCAAGCACACATAGAGAATGACATTTGTGTGGTAAGTTGGGACACGCTTACTGGGCTGTAAAGGGCCAACTAAGAGCATTAGTTAATTTGTGGAAATCAGTCTCTTGACACATTTGTTTTCTGTTTACCAGAACAGTGGCCCAGCACACAGCTAGAAGGTCTACAAAGATTGGCTACCTGATCTAACCCAGCTCCAGCAAGCTTGGGGACAGAGCAGTTGATCCATGTGATCCTACAACATCTGCCTGCCATTTTAGCCAGATTGTGGGTAGGGGTAGGGGTATCTGTTGACACTGTCCTAATTCCTTCTAGTGTTACAAGTCTGAGTTAGCTGTAATTAACTTACTTTGGGCCAGACATAGTGGTATAGGCCTTTAATCCCAGTGGCAGGAGGCAGAGGCATGTAGACCTCTGAGTTTGAGGCCATTATAGTCTACAGAACAAGTTCCAGGACATCCAGGGCTACACAGAGAAACTCTGTCTTGATAAGCAAAAACAAAAACCAACCCACCAACCAACCAACCAACCAACCAAGCAAGCAAGCAAGCAAGCAAGCAAGCAAGCAAGCAAGCAAAGGAATCTAAGAATTCGTAGATGAAAACCACAATTTTCCTAAAAACAGGTGATATTTGAGGTAGGGCTACCGAAAATTTCAGTAGCATTGATACCATGGTAATGCTAATTTTCTGTCCATTTAATTTTCAAAACAGTTATAAGGGAAAAAGGAGTTGCAATTGAGTTATTAATTGGTGGAGCACTTTTTCAGTAGAATATACTTTGCCTGACATGGGATTAATAGCAAACACATCAAAATGATCTCAAAAGCTTCTCATGAGTATCTATCTTCTCACATAGAGGGTCTCCAAAGAGCTGTTATTTGAGCCTAACTTTACAGGCTAGACCACAGCAACTCTCAAGACCTGAACACATTCCAGAGAGCCTCCAGGAAAACAAGTCCAATACCCTTGTCACTTATTCCCAGGTCTCTGTCACCCCAGACCATTGAGACACTGAGCCTGTCTCATGTGTCACAAGTCCAGGATCTCAATATCTGGACAAACATAGTCACATGTGGCCTGGTACTGCGCTCAGACCCCATAGTGCATAAGCCACCTCTTCAATGGGTGGTCAGCAGATGCTCCTGGCAACTGAGCCAGGAGATTGACCACCAGCTGGTCAGGAACAGAAGGCAACTGACACCCTCTGTGGAATCATGTGCCTCTGAAGCAACCTGGCAGTTTAGGAAAGAAACCCTAGCCCTGATCACAGAACTCTAGTGGCACAACACACATGTTCCTGCCCTCCTGAGTCCCCATTGCCTGGCACCAAAGCTGACCTGCTGCTGCAGAGGATACCCCGACCTTAGGCTCACCCTTGGATAGGGAGCTGAGTAGAGATCTGAAGGCTCCAACTGTGACCCTGGCTTCAAATACTGCCTGGGCAGAGAGGTGGGCGGAGTCTGAAGCCCAGGGCAGGCACTGGCCTCCTGTGTTAGGAAAGGCAAAGGTTAGGGCCTGGTGACCTGAGTCCAACAATATAGCCCATCCTTTGGCTCTGGGCCACACCACCTGTCATTAGGCAGCTGATCTTTTGGGTCCTGGATGCCTTTACTAATTACAAACTCTAGAAACATATGGAGAAGATCGAACCCAGGATGAACTCTCTGGGTGGTTTTCTACAGGGGACTAGAGTGCAGTCTCTGCAGTCTATCCACTCTGTGTTTATCAAGACTGTTGCTTTAGCAACACCAGAAGTGCGCCAATACTTAGTGGGCACAAATGGGACAAACAAAGCAGAACAGAAGTTGAAAGTGAGAGAGAGGGTAGAAGACTTTGACTACTGAGGCTGGAGAGAGAATTTGTCCAGCATTCATAGATAAAGAAACAAATAAGTGAATGAATGAATGAATGAATTAATTAATTAAATAATAAACACAAGTAAGTGTCCCAAAACTCTAATACTCTTCTGTTCCAAAGTAATTACACTCAGAAAAACATAATTAGTTGAAAACAAATCCAAACTATAGGAATAAAATGAACTGTATTTGCTACTCATAAGTAATATTTCTGGTAAATATCTGTGTGTGAGTTTGGTTTTTAACATAATGAATGTACAAGTATATGAAGTCTTTACATCATGTATAGAGAAGTATATGCAGTCTGTATTTGTGTGTGTGTGTGCACGTGTTCACATGAGCATGTCTTTTATATTCAAGTTACAAAACTATTGACAGATTTCTAAATTTTTTCTTTTGTAGGAAAGGCAGAAATTAGAGCTATATATAGAATTCTAGTGTATACACATACAGAGTGTGTTTTTCCAGGCACACTGCAAAGAGTACGTTCTATTTTATTCAAATGAGTATGAAAATCCTGTTTTCCATCACACAATAGTCTTGAGTGTTGGTGGATTGATTGATGGACACGTTTAATGGTCAGGCCAACTCTGCTTCTTTTGTCTCACCATAAACCATGAATTCCCAGCAAAGCCCCTATTGACATTTGAGTTGGATGTCTCTTGATTGTACAGACTGCCATGACCTTATAGATGTGATAGATGTGACAATCCTCCTTTTAGGAATCCATATGTGACCTACCTGTCCAGACAGCAAGATCCTGGGTTTCTGACATATACAACATGCTTGAGGATCTCAGAGAGCTGAAGCTAGAAAGAGTCCAGTAATTCAGTGCTAAGGGTTTTGATTCTACCTTTCTGGAGCCTCTTCTGGAATGTATCTGGGTCTGTGTGAGTTGTGTGCAGGAGCTGAAAAGTTAGGATCAAGCATTGTTCTTTGAACTCCCTTACTCTCCCAAGTCTGTGAAAATAGATACTTTTGTGAGGAACTTTTCAGATCTCATACCAGGACCTGATATATCTGCCTAGCAGATGTCAGTAGCAAATCAGGCCTCCAACCCAGCTGTGAGTTTTTCACTTTTAAAGGACTGAAACATAAAAGAATGTTCAAATATCTCACTCCCATTAGCTTCCTGGATCCTTTCCTCTCTAGGTTAATGCTTCTGGTTTATCCTTCCAGCTTTTCTGGGAAAGCACATTCTATGTGTTTATAATAAAATTCTACATTTTATTTTATTTCTATACTTTATTTTCTTATTTTATTTCTATATTGTGTTTTCTGCTTTTCCTACCAAAGAATAGTATTTTGTTATCTTAGTTTTGTAAGTTGAGTTAAACACACACACGCACACACACACACACACACACACACAGAAAGGCATACACAATCACAGGCTGAACATACATGTATATACTTTAGGTACATATACCTCTCTCTTTCTTTCTGTCTCTGTTTCTCTGTTTCTCTGTTTTCTCTGTTTTCTCGGTTTCTCTGTCCTCCCCTCCTCTGTCACACACACACACACACACACACACACACACACACACACCACTCCACATTCACACACAAATGAGAAACAAAGGAGAGAGAAAAACACAGATTTACTATGAATACTATTTATAAATAACAAACAGCCATTTTACATATAGGTTTGGGATATTTTCATCAAAGTATGTTTTATGTGTTATATTTTTGGTATGCTGTTTTCCTAAGAATCTTCCTAATGGCCTTGCATATGCAATGCATGCACTCTGTCACTTAGTTCTGTACCCAGCATATGCTGTGCTCTATGTACAAAGACACACCTTTGAAAGTGTTGGGGAAAGCAAACTGACACAAACATGTCCAAAATGAATACTGCTGTGCACATACACTTCACTGAACATATCCCAGAACAGCAATGAAGAAGTTCTTCTGCATGAATATGTCCACTCCTGTGACCCCAGAAAATAGAGAAAGCATTCTCTCACAGTTGTGGTTGTTTCACCTTGATGCACATTTTGTAACATTAGGTAAG